GTCTGAGAACGAGTGACCCAAGACATGATGTTCCAGTTTGATGATGTTTAAGAGATCAGTTAGTTTAATTATTGTTAAGCTGTTATGTTGTACTTTTACTGGCTAGGCTACTCTTGTACTTGTGTTTGTCTTATACTGGGTCACTACTATCGCACTCCTCTGTTTCAGTACAGTCAAACGTTAAATCATACAGTGTGTCCCCAATGACAGCAGCTCATTGGAAAAGAAGGATGGAAGTTTCAGGAGCATTTTAAAGGACATGAAGGGAAAAAATAAGTTCCTGGAAGGATGCTCTTAAATCAGTACTTCTACTGTGGGAAGATTTTCTGGCTGGTCTCTTTTTTTAGAGACTTTTTGTGGTGCAGGTAAGACTTGGGTAAGCCTACCTCAGAGTAAATTGAGGGTGTGAGGTAGCAGAGTAGCCGGACGTCGTCCTCCTGACAAGCCTTCATGTCCATCATCAGACAAGTGTGGAGGTCACCAAGTGCCGTCGCCTGAGCAAATGACTCGTACAACATCATCTTCCCATTTGCTGCTTTACTGTTGACAGACACAGACATGGAGTTTAACCACGTTTCTCCTATCAACATCTGTGACAGCAGCTTTTTTGTCACACCTGCTCACCTAGCCTTCAGGTAGTACAGCAGGTGATAACCGATCTTTGGCTGCTTCTGGTAAAGTTCAGCAAGCATGTCTAGCAGAACTGAGAAACCACTGTTGTCCTCTTGCATGGTGACAAGGTTCCTGAAGATCAGACAAACGGGTTTACAAACCGACTCCTCCAGGGACCTACAGAGAAATATAGACGGGTCATCAGAGAGAGCCAGACATGAGTCAATAAGGAGAGAGAGGGGGACAGAGTCAGTCTGATCTTACTCCTCCGTGATCTCCTCCGGCAGGACTTCTCCTCTGAAATGATCTTTGAACAGTTCGGCCAAACAGGAAGCCAGAGCTGACATCTGCTCTGTGTCAAAGTCCTCCTGTAGAACAGAACACAACATTGTACCACCATCTCTTAACACTGAAGCCCTGCAGCTGGCCGCACTCTTTTCTGATAAGCCACGAATTACTCATTTAACTCAACAAGATAGCTCACCTCCAGGATGAGATCCACAATCTCCTGCATCACCTCACACTGAGTCTCTGTGTCACTGCAGAGGAAGTGTTGCTGTCAGTTAACAGGAAATGACCTTGATGTAACATCTAACCTGAGGATCTGAAAAAATACTGGACTTTCACCTGGTCTTCTGAATCTGCTGCACCTTCTCCTTCATGGTGTCATCTAATTGGTCAAGCCAGGGTGTGATATCAGCAGGCTCCTCAATCACAGCCTCTTTGATTGGATGAAATCTGAACTCCCTCTTTTTTCCTGAACAGTGATGGGAGGACAGGTGGTCAAATACTCTACTTCCTGTTTGGGGTGAATTGTTAGAAATTTATAGTAAAACTTCCAAATTATGAATTGGAAATTGAATTTATATTTATAAACTCACAGCTCATATTTCGTCCCCAAACTGGAATACCACACCAGTTAAATCCAGGATAAAACTGGTTTAAAGTAGTTTCTAAACCATTTTAAACTGTTTTATTCCAGGATACAATTTATTTCAATTAAACTTGTTTCATTGGTCCAACTTGTATTATTTTGTGTTTACTCCACTTTAAAATGATTTCATTCAGTTTTGTTCAGTCATTTTGACTTATTTGCATAGAAAAATATAACTGTTAAATTTAAACCCCATCATCTCTATTTCATGACTTAGTGTAGCTAGGTGGGGCTGTGATGGTAGTCCCAATCACCCTTTCACTCCAAACCGCCTCTCAATTTTACATACATCTTAGACACTGAGGGTTTTGCATGGTGCAAGCATTGATGGAAACTGCTGACAGTCTCTTGTTTGTGTTGCATTTCTCTTATTGCTTCACTTTAATAGTGAAAAACATCTTCATCAGAATTCTAGGGCACGTTTTGAAACAAACATGTATGTGCAGTTACACGTTCGCTGTAGACTGAGAGTAGCAACTTCTTGTTGGCAGTTTTCATTGTCTGTATTTTGGCCAAAGTTATAATTACCAGATTCGGATCCACATTTACTTTCCTGATTCTCATTATGAGTTTTTTGTTTTTTAAATTACTTAAATCATAGAAGGTATGCAATACTGTACAACAGATTAATGGGACAGCAGTGGAGAGCCTTCAGAACTTGCCTTAGAGTCCTCTGGTTTAAAATATGTCTTCAACATTAAAGTAATCCAGTGATAGTTGTCAGTATTTCTACTGCACAACAAACAATAACTTAATAATTAATTCAGCAAATGTTATTTTTCAAATTGTAAACAAACACAGTTTAAAACAGCATTTCTGTCATTGCCAGTGTAACTCAGTTTAACGCAATAACCTGAAGTGTCCAACAAAGTGACCAATCCCATTAGGATTGGTCACATTTGAGCTCCGCCTACAAATTGTCAAAAGTAAATTTACTCGCATGAGCAGGATTTCTCCCTGAACGCGGGGAGCTACCAGCGAGAGCGTGAAACTGTAACAGCGCGTGCAATCAAGTCATCTGAAGTTGTTTCTCCAGGTGTTACCTTTGTTGTTGACTTCCTCCTCATCGTCACTGAAAGTTGCTTCTGTGTTGTCGTAGCAACTCTCCTCCTTGTCCAACACATGATTGTCCATCTCCATGGAAACAGACTCCTCCATCTTTACTGCATAATTGAAAAAAAATAAAGTGAAAGAGAGGGAAGAGGTTAATGTTTGTGTCTACTCACCTGTGTGTGTGTGTGTGTGTGTGTGTGTGTGTGTGTGTGTGTGTGCGTCTGTGTATTACCTTCAGTAGGAGGTGATGGTGGGCTGCAGAACTCGGGGAATCTTTCTCTGAGCATTGACCGGAGCTCTCGGTCCAGCTTTGGGTTATCAAACAGTGGAGCAAGGTGACTGAAAGAGAGATCAATAACCAATAATCAAAAATGATTCCTGTGATAGAGTGGTCAATGGTCAATAAATATTGATGCCTCTTACGCCAGAACCCTCTTTTCCATAATGAAGTTTAGCGAGTTGAAGACACCCTGACGGACCTGAGACTCCAAAGGAGGGAAGAAATGAGGGATGATCTGAAGAGGGGAGGAAGCAGACCAGCAATAAGAGGAGAGAAATTAAAACCTGGTAAAGTCTGTTGTGTGTGTGTGTGTGTGTCTGTGTGTGTTACCCTGCACATGAAGTCCAACAGTGTTGCAGTGATGGCAGGATGAGGTTTCATGGAGTGATGCATCACCAGAATGGCTGGCTCTGAAACACATCATCACAGGTGAGTGCTGTTTTACCTGTCTGCCTAATGACATGATGACATCATCTCTGACCAACACCACTCTGGTGTAGCATAAATTGTGTTACCTATGTTCATGATGCTGTCCTTCTCAGGGTTGAAGAACAGCCAATCATAAAAGAGAGCCAGCTTAGCATTGGAGGCCGCCACGTTTGACTGCAGTCACACAAATCAATTGATTATTAGTTATTGACCTATAACAATTCCTGCAGATTGACAGCCTGAAACCAGATCCCCTTACCGTGCAAGTGGTAAGCAGCCAGCCAATAATAGCCCAGCGTGGTAGGATATCAGAGCTTAGGACCTCATTGGATGGATGTACTACCCCGCAGATGTAGCGAATCAGATCACAGCGTAGTGATTGGCTCTCTGCTGTGGACAGGTACTGTCTCTGAAACCAGTCCTGGTACCGTTTCTGCTGCCCAAAACGCACCTGAGCAGAGATTGAGAAAGAGTCAAAGTCAACTGAGTCACAGGTGGAGAAACACCCAAATCACAGCATTTAATAACGTGGTTGAGGTGAGAGTGCGAATGGCACCTTTGTCTGACCCGTTTACCTGCTGTATTTGTTTTGTTGGAGGCTTTTGCACTGGTGAGTATGACTGTCAGGCTCTACTACACATCTGAGCTACCCCTAAGAGCTAAGCTGGCTAAGAAATATCACAGCTCTTCTTTTGTGTAACCTGGTGAGCCACTCTCTCAAGGCCCTATATGTGCCCTTTAGCTGACCTCCTGTGAATGCAGAAGAAGGAGGGGGAAAAAAGCTGGAGTCCAGGTGATATTGGTGATGATGATTTGTTGCAATTGCCAGTGCTATTTGATCAGCATGGTGTTCCCTGATTCATCAGGATACTACATGTTTCCCTCCCTGGATGCTTTTGCAGGACCTGCTGTCTCTGTCAGGTGCTGATAGCCACCGTGCTGGAGGTGAAACGATCCTCCAGCTCCTCGTAGGACAGCACTGATAAATGCATGGTCCATCTCATCTTGAATGATCCAAATCAGACCAGAAACTTGGTTTTCTTGTCTCTGACAGAAACAGATGCTACAGATAAACCTGCAGCTAAACGGACTGTAATGGACTCTTAACTTAACTCAGCATGTGTTCAGGTCCCACTCACAGCAAGGGGCTAACACTGTTGGATCTTTCAGCTGCCTTTGACACAGTAGATTGTGGTATCCTGAGTAACAGCCTGCAATTGTGGGTCGACATCTCTGAGTCAGCTCTGGGCTCGTTCTCTTTCTGTCTCTCTCACAGGAGTTTATTTTCCTAATTTTCCCACTTTACCTTGTGATGTGTCCCAAGGTTTGATCTTAGCCATGTTGCTTTTCCTGTATATGCTTACACAGGGACACATCTGAATGATTTTGAAGGCATCTTAAAGCATTGTTACGCAGATGACATCCGCAGATGACATCCAGATGACATCCAGATGACATGCAGTTCAGAACCCAGAATTTAGCCAAGGTCTGTCTCCTTAAGAGCTCTCTTGTGTCTGTGAACTACTACATCATTACATAACTATTACACCTCTGAGGTCACCTGATCAGTGCTTGTCCAGTTTAAAGGCAAAACGAGAGTGAGCTTTTCAGATTTTGAATTCCATATTGTGGTACTAAAAGATCTGGTGGTGATAGTTTCAGTCATTATGTACTACTTATAAGGTTGGGGAATCCTGCAGTCAGGTGAGACTTGAGAATGAGTGAAGAAGCATTTCTCCCACTGAAAACATTATGCCCAGATGAACAGAATCAACTTCTGGAAATTAGTTATGTGGAGAACCACTCTAACATAATTAAATACAGAGTGGTACCCTCTTCTTAAAGATCATTACATTTATGAGGTAAAAGAGGCTTTACCCTGGAGGTCATGAACAGTAGTTTGGTCTCCATGTCTGGTGTGAGTCGACAGGCCAGAAACTTCCTGGAGGTCCGAGCCGTCAGTAGTTGGAGGACACCCGTGAACTGAGGGCTCAGGACTTGAGGATTGTGCAGCAGGTCTCTCCACAGCAGCTCCATCTCTGGGATCCGAGCAACATTTTGCAGCAGACGAACCAGATCTCTGCCGATGATTAGACAATCCATGAACTACAGACAGAGAGAGGTCATCAGTGTAAAGAGAAGGCGTTAAATACATAGCAGACCACACCATACTTCCTTCCTCTCCTTATTACCTTCTCCCTCAGCATGCTGATGCAGAAGTCCACTTCTTTCTGGCGCAGAGGCAGCAAGTTCGGAGCTCCGTGGTCCACAATCAGGCGAAGGTAAGTGTAGACTGACATTGCTATGAGCATCCCACTCTTCAATACCCACTCTCTGGAGAGACACAAATAATCAGCTGCTGCACTATAAAAACCCACTCTGGGCTCTAACAGAGACAGAAAAAAGCAGCTGATACTACAGTCTGAAAAAAAAAACAGTGAATCATACTTCTGCTCGAGCAGGATGTCCAGGACACTCTCAGCCAGCCACAGGTTTTTGGTGGAGATGTCTCCGCCTGTGCAGAGAGAACAGTGACATTACAGTCAGAGCGAGTGGTGACAGGATTCGTGGTTTCAGCTCAGGTAAAAATCCGAGTGTCTCACCTGCAATCTGTTTCAGCAATGTCATGATGACGCCATCAGCTCCCATCACGCCACTCTTCACCAGCTCTCTGACCAGCCACACTAGCTGCACACACACCAGCACTTCATTAGTAACCACCACAGTCAGGATCAGGTGAGATCCCACATTTAAGACCAGGACCTGAGGAGGGACGCTGCTGTCCTGTCCTCTCAGAACCTAACCTGGTCTGCCTCTGTTCCTTCACAATGGTAAACACAGGTCCCTGCTACCCAAAACACTTGTATATAACTGTGTGTAGTTATCTGTGTGTGTGTGTGTCCACCTGTATTGGTTTACCTGTGTTCGGGGGACGTCTTGCAGTTTCAGGAACTTCTCCATCAAGATCTGGTTGATTTTAACCAGCACAACGTTCATCCCATCTCTGTTGACCAGTGCCAGGTCTCTGTAACACTATCACCACACATAGTAATGTTATAGTAATGTCAGAGTCGCATCAGACATTACCCACAATGCTGCAGAAACTCACCCTCTGGGCCTGAGCCGGCTCTGTGAGGACCAGTGTGAAGAGACCCAAACACACCTCCTCATGCTGTTGCTGACCTTTACATGCCTACAGAACAGGTAAACAGGAAGTTAGACACAAATTACAAAAATATAGTCTTTTCATTTTCAGGTCTCAGAAAATCAGGAAGGTGTCTGGTTCCAGCTGTTAAACACAGAGTAGACTGAATGAAGTGATTCAGAATTGGAGCACATTAGAGAGACTAGAGATTAGATGTTTCCAGCTCTGACATCCAGAAGTATTTGGACAAGGACACATTTTTGTAGTTTAGTCTCTGCACACTACCACACTGAATTTTAAATCAAACTTTCTGCTTTAGTTAAAGGAGTATAATAAAAATATTGCAATAAGGAATTCCAGAAATTTTGTATTCACAGTTCCCTATTTTCAATTTCATGGAGAGACCTGTTCTTTTGTTATTCCATTAAGTTAATATAGATCTGGAGTCGATTCCAAGGATTGTATTTGTATTTTCACTGAAATTTTCTATATGAGGGTCAAAGAGATGTCAATGTAAGTGAAGGAGGTCATTGTTAGGCTGAAATACCCAAATGAGAGAGAGAGAGAGAGAGAGAGCTAAATCTTTAGACGTATCCAACAATCTGGTTCATTCAAAGACTGAATGCACCAAGCAGCAACAACAACAAACCAAGACCACAGATACATTAAAGAGCATGGTGACAGAATTATTTCCACAGTTCAGAAAAACCACCATCTAACTAAGTCAGGAATAGTGTTAAGAAGGCAGGAGCATCATCAAGCATCAAGTCTACGTTCAAGAAACAATCAAGAAACACTTTAATAACAGGAAACAAGGTTTGCACCTTGTTGAAAATCAAGAAGGTGATTAGACTGATTAGACTTTGCCAGATAGCATCAAACACAGCCAGCACAGTTGTGGAAAACAAATGAAACCAAGATGAACCTGTACCAGAACAATGGAAGAGAAAAGTTTGAAGAAGGAGAGGAACAGTTGATCTGAAGCATCCACACAATCTTTGTGGACTGCTGATAGAAGCAGCAGGATAATGTGTGGAGTGTGCAGCACTGTACTCCCTCACATTCTCACTGATGCTGCAGAACTGATCACACTTAGCTTCACAGAGGAGCTACAACTTACAATACAACTTTATTTATATAGCAAATATTAAAAACCAGCGGACATCAAAGTGCTTTACAATAGAAATAGGGAAAAGAAGACATGATTAAATAAAAGACCATTAACAAAGTACCACATATGTCAGCAGGTTGAAGGCACTAATTATACAGCAATAAAAAGGAATATAAGAAAAAACTTACTAAGAACAGATATAACTAAAAGATAAAGTACATAGATAAAAATGGAGCCCAATGTAAAATAGGGACACTAACTAGATGGAAAAGCTAAGTTAAATAAGTGAGTTTTTAAATGAGATTTAAAAGATAGAATGGAGTCTGACGCACGGATAGCGATGGGAAGGTTGTTCCACAGGTTAGGTGCAACAAGGGCAAAAGCACGGTCACCCCTAGATTTAAGTCTAGATCTAGGCTGAACCAAGAGTAAGTGGGGTGAAGACCTGAGGGCTTGCCCAGGGACATATGGACTAAGGAGATTGACAAGATAGCTAGGGGCTAAATTATTTATAATTTTAAAGGTGAGCAACAATATTTTAAATTTGATACGATATGATGATGAGCCAAAGAAAACTCGAAAAACAAGCCAAGAATCGTGACATTCTTCAAGTCCATCAAAGCAGCAGCTTTTCTGTGATTAAATACAAACTTCAATGCAGAGAGCTGAACCAGTAGCAGCAGCTGAAGGAGTTGCATGTTACAGCAGCATGGAAACAGCACATTACTTCTGAACACCACTGAGTACCGTCAGTCAGACTCTTTTCATTACAACTGATTACCACCCATGGTAATCATGCATGGGGTCATTATAGCAAGAGTCATGTCATCAATTGTATGTGACACAAATACAACACCGAAATGGAGGATATCGAGTTGATGGTGTAACTGCTGCTCTGTCTGTAACTTTGTGTCAGACTCAAAGACCATGGTGTTGGTTTTTATATGCAGCCATTTCCCTCTTTGCCAGGTTTCAAAAATGACACTTTCGATTTTTGAGAAATCTCTCTCTTGACGAGGGATGGGTATCGTTTAAGTTTTATCTGATACCGGTGCCAACCCGGTACTTTTGAAACGGTGCCGGTGCTTAAACGGTGCTCGAACCAGTGCTTAAAGAATGGAGAACACAAA